TCAGTTAATGGCAATTACATCCTTAATATTGCTTAGGTCAGAAACCTTGGAGTGAATCTTATGGTGTGTAAATTATATCTCAAAAAAAGCCCCCCAAAAAATCCCCAAACCAAATACTATACCCTGGAGTCACCATCATCAACTTCTCCTTCAAAATACATATTTGTTTCATGGATGGGTTCATGGATGGCTGGATGGCTACATATGATAAGGCAAATGTAGCAGAAGTTTGGCAATTGTAGATGTCAGGTGGCACAAGACTATTTCCTATACAATTCTTTCAACTTTTCTTAGGCCACAAAATATTATAAATTTGACTGCTTCCCACGACCCCCATTGCCACTAACTTGTTTCGAGCCACCATTATCTCTTGTCTTGATGACTGCAGTGGCCTCCTTGCTGGTTTCCCTGCTTCCTTCTTTACCCATTGTCAGTCTCTTCTAGACAAAGCAGGCAAAGGGAACAGAATTTAGATCATCACTAATGGTTTTTCATCTCACTCAGATGCTTACTGTGACTTGGAAGGCCCCTGCTGTCTCTCTGACTTTAACTGCCTGCTCTCCCTTACACTCATCTGTAGACATAGAGGCCCCCATGTCACTTGCCAGCCTCAATTTGTCCATATGCTATCAAAGCACACATATTTATTTAACACAAAGGATGGCAGTAGGTATGGTATATAAAAAGGCATGGTAGTCAATTTAGACAATGCTAAAGCTTCTATCATTACAGGATTTCACATAGATTTTAATATAATTCACTTTGTTGAATTATGAATGTCTAAGATGAAACAATACTTATTGTGCAGAGAATCTCAACGAACACGCTTTGGGAAATATGTTCTGCACTATTTCATTCATGCAAGCATTCATTAATATACTCACTTAATAGGTTTTTATTGGACTCCTGCTTTATGCCAGATATCATTTTAAGAACTGGGAATACAACAGAATATGGCATTGCTTCTAAGCCAAATTGCTTATTGTGAGTGAGACAAGTACAGAGGCAGTTATACAGGTAGCCATGGGGATGTACAGATGCAGTACCTGCCTGGCTTTGAGGGTAACCATGGAAGGTTCTATGGAGGAGATCATATCCAGGCTTGTTTGTGAAGGATGAATAAGTACAGGACAGGTGAAGAATGGGGGAAAGGACATTGTAGGGAGAAGCAGCAGCAAGTGAGAGGGTCTGGGGGAGACATAGAATGAGCACAGTGCATTTGGTTCCTGGAAGTAGCTCAACACAGACATAAGGTTGCGAGGTTCTCAGAAACCAGATCCTGGAGGCCTCACGTTGCATTACAAGGAATTTGAGCTCCATCTTGAGAACAATTCACTACTTTGAGAGTAGTGGGCAGCTATCAATGGGTTTTAAGCAGAGGAAACTTACGTTTTTGAAAGATTACTATAGCTGTGCTATAGAGATGGATGGAGTGATCCTAAGAATGGATATAGAAAGATTAGTTAGAATTGTTAGAAAGGTTTACAATGTGGGTGTCAGGGGAGACAGATGTGATCTGGACATGTCTAAATATCCAGTTGATAGAAAGAGCTATACTGAAGACATGTTTTTGAGGGGATCTTCCATCTCTCAAAACTCTATTTGGTACATGAAACCATTGGGAACCAGGAGTCAGGGAGAAAGTCCAGGGTGGAGGGTAAGAAGACCAAAACACCTACCATGTAGGATGTTGGTATTTGATGCACAGGCAGAGGAAAATAAGCCAGTGAAGGAAACTCAGAAGAGCTAGAGAGGTAGGAGGAAAGTCAGGATTGCAGAGTATTAACAGATTCAAGGGAGGGGGAGTAGATAGCATTCAGTGGTGCAGAGCAGTCAGGGTAGCTAAGGACTGGCAGACGCTCTTGTTAGCAGTGTCAGTGGGGTGGACTGTGTGGATAATGAGTCTGTTAAGGGAAGAAAAGCTGCAGCATTATCATTCAGAATATTTTCTTTTGAAAATATGATCATCTTTATTTATACAGTATTCTTCTCTTTCTGTTTGGCCTGATGCGATAGATATGCAGAGAACTGCCTACCACACCGAAGGAACGCATCCAGGAGCCCTGTTCTGTTTCACAGACAAGGATTGCTGGTAAGAAACAGGTTATTCCTTAACAAAGTTTATTTTTTAATTAACATAGCAAAGTTTTATATAAGCATCATATATGAATTATAAAAACTTATTTAAAAACATCATGCAATTTTATTTATTATTCTACTTTTAATTGTTTAAAAAGAATATCTTTTTTAAACCCAAGACATACTCAGCTGCATGGTGTGCACAAGGTATTTGTTCTTGGTAGATAAGACTGGTGTTTCTCCGGACCAGAGTGGCACCAGGGCGTCTGTGGGTCCTGCTGAAGGGAAATGGAGAGGTCAGGCAGGACAAGTACCTGCTGACTTTTTGGGTCCATGTGGCTTCTTAGGAAATCAGCTATAACCCTCAACATTGATATGCACTTGGTTGGCATGTGGAATCAGACCTGACCATGACCAGACACAAGAGGTTTAGATATTCTTGGAAGCAGGTGGGAGACGGGGATTTAGAAGAGTTCTCCATCCCAGTAAGGCATTTTACTGACAAATGCTGCTCACTTGGATGGGGATATAGAAGAGTGTTTTCTCACAACTTCTTTCCTTTTCTCTGTCCAGATTAGATCGCAGGCTACTGCACCACAGCCACTGTCACTACTGCCTTGCGGGCCACCTGAACCATCTTGCCCTGCTCTTCCTCTGCTGTCATCAGCAAAACTCCAAATGTGGTTAACCCTAACTGCCCACTTACTCGGCTGCTGGTTCTTTTCCCGCTCCTCCCTCCTCCCTCGTTCTCTGTTTCCTACCTTCCTCTCTTCTCCTCTCCCTCTACCCCTCCTACCTCTTCCTCTTTGGTCCTTTTACTTCTCTTCTTCTTCTTTTTCTTCTTTTCCTTCTCCTTTTCTTCAGGAGTTGGAAAAAGTGATGAGAGACAAGATTTTTTTTTTTTTCGTTTTCTGAGATTTGCAAGCTTATTGAGGGCCAAGTTTGTGTTTTATATTACTTGTATTTCCCAGTAACTTGTACAAGAAATACTTAGGGCCTGATCGGGTTTCTTGATTAATATGCAAAACACTTGAATTGACATTTGAGTACTGCTACCTTGCAAAAACAAGCTCAACTCCATAATCACGGGGAAAGGATTTGATGCATTTTATAAAATAGTAGTGGGTTATCTTACTTTTTAAACATTATGGCACAGGAGCAGAGAAAATTCGAATGCATATTTAGAAGTACGAAAAGCTGAGAGCAGAACTACACCGTCCATTAGATTGGCAATGCACTCTTAACAAGATCTTCATCCCTGGGGCAGAGCTGAGACCTGAAGCTAATCTCAGTGTCTCATTCTCTTCCTACACAATATTTTAATTCAGTTCCTTCTTCTTTTTAAAATTATCTTTAAAAAATAAAAGCCATTTTAAAGTGAACAATTTAGTGGCATTTAGTACATTCACAATGTTTTGCAACCATTACTTCTTTCTAGTTCCAAAATATTTCTATCTCTCTAAAGTAAAACCTCTTACTCATTAAGCAGTTTCTCCCCATTCCCTCCTCCTCCCAGCCCCTGGCAACCACCAATCTGTGCTTTGTCTCTATGGATTTATCTATTCTGGATATTTCACATAAATGGAATCATACAATGCTTCTTGCACTTAGCATAATGTTTTTGAGGTTCACCCATGCCAGCTTCTTGCTGATTATACTCATGCAAAGCTATGACTATGCATCTCGAATAGGCACTCAGTTCTAACAGATAATCTTACTGTACTTTCTTCTGAGTACTCTTTGCCACCCATCTCTCAACTAATGACCTTATCTCATTTTTTAAAGAAAAAACCCCTTTTGTCAGACAGAATCTCCATTTTCCCACCAGAGAATCCATCAAGCTGCCTGCATTTGTACACCGCATACTCTGCATACTTCCTTCCTCTTCAGAGGAAGAGTTATCCCTTTTCCTTTCTAACACCAACTTCTCTGGTTGGGCTTTGGATCACATCTTCTCTTGGCTTTTTACTTATCCTTTTTCTCTCCTACTCTACTGGGTTATTCCCGTTGCCATACATTTTGATGCATGTAGCCCTAGTTTATTCATTTAAACTGATGTATAGTCTTCCATTGCATGGATATATACTACAATCCTCAGCATTCTTTTCTCTAGCTATGCTTACCAGTTCTATGACTGTAGACACGTTTTCGACTTTAGATGATTCCGCCAATATTCGGCCAATACGCTTGGATTTATTCTTCTCTGGATTTCATAGCCAATCCATCAGCAAGCTGAGTCAGTCCTGTGCCCCATCCCAATCACTTCTCTGGTCTTGAACACCCTCATCTTTCATCTGTATTATTGGAATATTCTCCTAACTCATCATCTATTCTATTCTTGCCTTACTGCACCTCCATAATCTGTTCTGATAGCAGCTAAAGTGATGCTTTATAAACATAAGTTTGACTGTGTGACCTCTTTGCTCACAATCTTTTAATCACTTCCATCCATGTGAGTGAGTTCCAAAGACTTACCATGATCCAGAAGACCATGCATGATCTGCCTGCTTCCTGTCTTTCTAATCCCATTTCTTACTTGTCCCTTTGTTTATTCTGCTTCAAATACACTGGTCTTCTTGCTGTTTCAAACATGCCAAGATACATACATTCAGTGCACATTCTGCCTGTCTCTGTCTTCTTGCATTGGTTTTACTTCATAACATATATCCATCTCCCCCACCAGGATGCAAGTCTGTGAGGGCAGGTGCTTTGCCTTGTACACTCCCGCACCTGCAGCATTTAGAATAGTGCCTAGCTGTATAGGTTCTTAATAGGTATTTGGGAAATTGAAACAATGAATTTTTAAAAACTACAAAGAAAGCTATAGTGAAGATTGGGCAAAATGATGTGTGATGTATTCTGTAGGGTAAATATCTAGTGGTGGAATCACTGGGTGGTAGGATATGGGTGCCTTTTACTTCACTAGCAGCTGCTAGAGTGCTGGCTGGACTGCTTGTTCCAGTTCACACTCCCAGGGTGGGTTCTCCTTGCTCTACATTGTTATCAACACCCAGCATTTTCTTCTCAGGACCCCTTTACACTTTTGAAAATTATTGACCCCGAAGAGCTTTTGTTTATATGAGTTATATCTATTTATATTTACCTAACTAGAATGAAATTTCAAAATAATTTGCTTATTAACTTATTGAAAAATAACAATAATAAATCCATTATGTATTAACAAAAATAATATATTTTTATGACATTTTAACATAAGAATCTCTGTTTTCCAAAACAAACAAAAACTTAGAAAAGTGACATTGCTTTACATTTTTCAAGATCTCTTAAATGTCTGGCTTAATAGAACACACCTGGGTTCTCATATCTGCTTCAGCAGTTGATCTCTTGTGACATCAGTTGTTACGTAGTCTTGGGTTAACCACCACTGTACACTGGGAGAGAATGAGCCTGAAAAGGCAAACAAACTTTGTATGATGATGTTGATAGTTTAGGCATCCAGACCCCATGGAAGGGTCTTCAGGAACGCAGAGCTTCCCAGATGTCACTTTGCTGACTTGTGATCTGGGGATACAGGGTATTTCATTTTAATTTGTATTTTATCAATTTTCAGTGAAGTTGAACATCTTCTCCATATTTTTATGTTTATTGCCTTTCTTGTTTCCTCTTCTTTGGATTGTCTGTGGACCTTTTTTGAGCTTTATAAAAAGTATTTTGGTTACTAATTCTTTGTCTGGACTATGTGTTGCAAACACTGTCTCCCTTAATATTTCAAAGGCTTTTAAAATCTTTACTTATGGTGCTCTCTTCAGAATTCTTAAAAACTCATGGTTTATTAATAGCTTCTTTTTGTGCTTTGTTTTAGAGCTCCTTCAGTGCTCTGATGTTAAAAAAACATTCTATATTTTTAATAACAATTTTGGTTTTCATATTTAGGTCCTTAACCTACCAAGAATTAATTTACCTATGGTTCATGTGAGGTTAAAGTCTGCCCCATCATTTCCCTGCTCCAGCCATGGGTCACCGCTTTGCCAGCAACATTTATTGAACAGTAAATTCTTCCTCATTGATCTGTAATTCAGTCTCTGCCCAGGTCAGGTTTCTCTGCCACCTACACTCTGTGGCTCTTCTCTTCCATTGGTCTGTGCGAATGTTTCAATCTCTAAGGTACTGAATTAATCATTATTATTAAAATAGCTAAATAATATAACTAAATATCTGGGAGGGCATATCCCTCTAACGAAAATAAAATAAGATTTTGACGGTTTTTGGTCCTTTTCTCTTCTGTATTAATTTTACAACCAGAAATTTGAATCAATGAATTTGTTAAATCCCACTCAAACCATTAGGATTTTGATTGGAATTGTACTGAATTTAAAGATTGGCTATATCTTTTAGAAAATTATTTAAGTCTCATTTAATATATCCTATGCTAAAGTGGTTCCAGATGGATTTAATCATTAATTCAACGACCTATTGTATTGAACCCAAAGAAAAACAATCTCCCCTCATTGAAAAACAGAAAACAAAAAGCAAAACAAAACAAGCAAAACCTGAAGGAAAGAATACATTTATCAAATCTTTGGAGAACACTAGAATTTATAATTTTAAAAGTCCTAGGAAAACAATAGCCCAAGAAAAATTTATGGATTTGATCACCTTAAGTTTGTTAACATCTATATGTTAAAACAAAAAAGTACCACACACATTTAAAGAAACCCCAGATAAAAGCATTGTTTTCAATAATATGAAAAGGGTTCATCCTTTCTATGTAAAGAGTTCATCTAGATTGATAAGGAAGCAGATAAAAAAACAGTTATAAATTATACCATATTTGGTTAACAAGCATGAAAAATATTTACCCTTACTAGTAATAAAAAAAACATAAAATGAAAACAATGGTGAAAGATGTGTATTTATCAATTGAGACAGAATATTGTTGATTCGGAAGCAGAATGTTCATCAGTTCCACATGCTCCTGTTGGAAATTTAAATTTGCAGCTTTTAAGGAAAGCAATTCGACAATGAGTATTAAATGCATACATTTGTTCATATTTCGTGACTCAGTAATTCTACTTTGGGAAATCTATGCTAAGGTGTTGATCAGAAATGTGCAAAATACTCTATAGAAAAAGATATCTCTTGCAAGTTCTTTTTAAAAATAAGATTTCAGGAGCAATCCAAATACCCAGCTGAAGGAAAAGGATTAAATAAAAGTTAGTGAATATAGATGTAAGTTATTACATAGGTGGTCACAATGATGTTCATTAAAAATGAAATATGCTCATGTTATAAAGTTAAATGAAAAAGAATAAAAAGTATGAATAAATTGGCTTTATAATTAAAGTAAAAACATCCTGACAAAATAAAATAATACTCCTAATTTTCTCATCGTTGGTATATTTTTTAATTTTCATTTTTCTCAGTATCAGTGCTGATTACATCTAACTTAGTGCTGTTCCAGAATGTTATGAGACTCTCTGTTCAGTTGGCTTAATAGCCACCAAAGACATACACATATTATAGGCAATTCCACACCCATTTCAGTATGAACAAATGAAAACTTCCTAGAGTTTCTTTTACTTAAAGTGAATTTTACTTAAGTATATATAACACCTGTCACCATTACACCACCATAATCAAAATGTCCTGTTGATTTATTTCTATTTTGCTGTTTTTTTTTTTAATTTCAGCTCATCCTGGTGTCCAAAAGGTGGTGCTAGTATCATCTGCGTCAGATATTCCTGTTCCGTCTCCCCGTACTTCAGAAATTTCAGTTCCTGCTGATCTTGATAAAACTATAACAGAACTAGCCGACTGGCTGGTATTGATCGACCAAATGCTGAAGTCCAACATTGTCACTGTCGGGGATGTAGAAGAGATCAATAAGACCGTTTCCCGAATGAAAGTAGGTGCATAGTGCAAGGGCTTGTCATGGAGACGCCACAACCCAGAGGTAGACAAGATCAAGTTGAATCCCCTTTGGTTTATCCTAAAATGTGAGAGAATGAGGTATAAAAATTCTTTACTGTCAGCCATCCTGGGCTAACTCCACAGAGTAAAGCTTTTCTCGCATTTATACTGTTGTGATAAGATCAGGTTCACAGACGTAAACTAAAGCCTCAGTGTTTTTTTAAGATCTGAAATTGATAGCATATGGCCAGATGCGTTAATATAAATGTAAGCTTGCCTTACATTTAAGGCCTATAATGTAATGTAGGATGTTTTCCTAAAGCACCTTTTCGACTTATATTTCATAATGAGATTGTTTAATTTCTAACTTTAGAAGCAGGAATCCCCTGACTACAATGAATATTACTGAGTATAATGAATATAATGAATATGCACATTATCATTTATATATCATTTAATAACAATTTCTAAAGTTCTTTTTCCATATTTAGTGCATCCTGGGTTCTTTGCTATGTACTGAAAAGAACATATTAATACTAGGTATAAATTAGGAATGTACAATAAAATAATAATAGCAGCTATTGCTAACTTTTACTAAAGTGCTTAATGTGTACCTTTTTTTAATTTTAATTTTAATTTTTTTTTAATTTATTTTATTTATTTTTTTTTGAGACAGAGTCTCACTGTGTTGCCCGGGCTAGAGTGCCGTGGCATCAGCCTAGCTCACGGCAACCTCAAACTCCTGGGCTCAAGTGATCCTCCTGCCTCAGCCTCCCGAGTAGCTGGGACTACAGGCATGCGCCACCATGCCCGGCTAATTTTTTCTATATATTTTTAGTTGTCCGATTAATTTCTTTCTATTTTTAGTAGAGATGAGGTCTTACTCTTGCTCAGGCTGGTTTCGAACTCCTGAGCTCAAACAATCTGCCCGCCTCGGCCTCCCAGAGTGCTAGGATCACAGGTGTGAGCCACCGCGCCCGGCCAATGTGTACTTTTTTAGAAGTATTTTATATGCATTATCTCATACATTTCTTTAACAATCTTGTGAGGTAGGTACTGCTTTTATCCCCACGTGACAAATAAACCCAAGCTGGCAGAGGCACCAAGTGCGTGTATAATAAATGGACACGTTACTGTGGCAAGGCAGAGTCTAGTAAATGCCGTAGGACAGGTGCAAGCAGCGTGGGGAGCGGAATGTGGAAGGGTTACTTCTCCAGCGATGGAAAGCAGACAGTGTGGGGCTTTGACATCTGGAGACAAAGTGATGACATTCCTGGTATAGGGAACAGAATGAATAGGGAAATGGGGGAAGGCATGAGGGCCGTTAGAGCCAACATTTATGCAATAAAGAAATGCAGAGGGAAGCAAGGCAGGAAAGGCAGCCCAAGTTCCCTTTGCGAGGCAGCCTGTAGGCTGTGAAAGCCCTTTGGACTTTCAGTCTATAAGCAATTGGCAAACGACTTTCTTTCCATTTCTTCTTCTTTTTAAAATTGTGGCTGGGAACTCATGATAACAATGCCCTGCTTTAGTAAGACAACTAGGATGGATTGGAGGCAAGAGATGCTTAAATCAAGGAAAAGGGCCCTTCCTGAGTGGCTAAGATGATGCCTTTGGAATTAGTGGAAATAGGAATAGAAGAAACAGAGTGTGAATGAAGATTTGAACGGTTTAGTTTCGGATGTGTTGTGTTGAGGAGCCCTCATGCCCTGTAGAAGGAGGTGATCAGCATTTATTGAAATGAACTCTGGGATTCAGGATCTGAAGTTCTGAGCAATCCATTTAGAAATAATGTTTGAGACTGCAGGAGTAACAAATCTACAACATTTGTGAATTCATAAAGAGGAAGGGCAGGGAGAGAATCCTTTGCCACTATTTGTACTTATTGTAAATTGTGTTTCTATTCTTTATGACTATTAGTTCTGTACTTAAAATATGCTATTTTCCTGATATTGTTACCATTTCTCCCATATGTATCAGTACTGAGAGACACAAACTAGAGCAGCAGTTTTTCATGTCTAAAATGATTTTATTTGCAGTTACTCCAAACAGCATTTTTCTAATGCCACCCTCATTCCTATAGATAGCATTAGTTTGTGTTCATATCTGATGTAGAACGGGTAGACAAGGCTTCAGTAGCAGCAATGACTGCTAATGTTTTCAGAGCATTTTTTAATCTTTAGTGGGATTTTCTTAATTTCCTCAGACTTGATGTAACTGAGCTGTTAGTATTTTATTATTTCTTTTTGTGAAAACTAAAACACAGAAAGGTAAAGCTCCTTGCCTGGTGACCCAGATGGTAAGAGGAAGAACTGAGATTTAAACCCAGGACCTCTGATATCAAATCATACACTCTTTCTCTGTCATGTTGCTGATGACTCATAATCCCGTAGAGGAGGAAACAGCCATGAAAACAACAATTTTGATGTTAGCAAACCTGCTTTGTTTAGTTAGTATTCTTATTGTATAGCTTATTAATTGGCCTTAATAATCATTTCTACTTAACAGATTACGAAGGCTGACTTAGAACAGCGCCATCCTCAGCTGGATTATGTTTTTACGTTGGCACAGAATTTGAAAAATAAAGCTTCCAGTTCAGATGTGAGAACAGCAATCACAGAAAAATGTAAGTTTTTCTTAAAAGAAATTATGTATCATCCACTTTTCCTGCAAATGGTGCCCCACATATACACATTTTCAAAGATTGTTCAACTAGGAAATGATATTATTTAATATTTGATACTCTTTATTTATGAAGAAATCTAGCTTTCCCTTATTTTTTATTTTTTGTGAACATTGTCACAATTCCCTTATGAATTCCTTAAAGTATTAACATTGTTACTTTCAAGTAATTAATTAACATTGGGTTTTCCTTTTTTACGTTAGGATTTCTTTTAAAAGAATCAGAAAAACAGAAGTTAGAGAAACCCATAGGAATGCAAATTCATTCTCCCATTATAGTTTATTCACTAAACCCAGGTCTTCCATGTTTTTAAACTCACCTCAGAATTCATGTGACTGGCACCAATTTGGGGATACTTTAGTTAAAAACAAAATAAAACAAAAAAATAAACTTATAAAACAACAGCAAATAAAGATCGCTGTTTGGAGTTTGCATTCTAGCTAAAAAATATCTGTTAAATCTGTGTGGCATGCAAAACAAAGTTTAGATTCTCGAGAATAACAATCTGCTCTCATTGTCCCTTCTCTCACTGCACCCCTCATCCCCATCTGTAACTATCCTGTACTATATATATATTCTCTAAAACGTCCTGCCATTTCCTAGTCTCCTTACCTTTATTCGTGTTATTTCTTTTCCCTCTTGGCCTTTTCTCCCCAGGTGAAAAATCTACTAGCAGCTGAAATGTCACCCCCTTGTGAAGTCTTTCCCACCCTCCTCTAGTGCCTGGGGAACTGTATTTTCTATATTTAGTTTCTGCTGTGTCCTTTTCCCCATTACTTCATTGTAGATCTCATAGCTACTTTAACTCTCTCCCCTCCACAGACTGTGAATACGCACCTTCCTGGCCCTTGGGCCTTTTACGGTGTACAACACAAATTAGCTCCTTAGTAAATATTTGTAGCAAAATATAAATTAGAATAATAAAGTCTCATCCTTCTCAAAGGAAGAAAGTCAACTATTC